CGTCCATGATGCATGCGGCTGCCCCCCATTTTCTGTGGCCGTTTGCGGTTCAGTACGCGGCGCATCAGATCAACCTTCACCCCAGGGTCTCCATGCCGGAGACCTCCCCAGCTTTGCTGTGGACAGGGAAGGTTGGCGATGCGTCTGCGTTCCGTGTCTGGGGATCTCGGGCGTTTGTCCGCGACTTGTCTGCGGACAAGCTGTCCCCTCGTGCTGCTCCTTGCGTCTTCCTTGGCTTCCCCCCTGACGCGCCAGGGTGGCAGTTCTACCACCCCACCTCTCGCCATGTCCTGTCCTCCCAGGACGTCACGTTTGACGAGTCGGTCCCCTACTACCGCCTCTTCCCCTACCGCACTCCGTCCCTCCCCCCGCCACCGCTCTTCCTTGTCCCAGGTCCCCCCCCGGTAGACCCCCTCCCCCCTCAGGGTCCTGCCCCTTCAGGTGTGTCCCAGGTAGACGCAGTCGAGCCTGTCGAGGTTACTGGTGACTCTGGTGCTGCTGAGGGTGCTGAGCCTGGGGGTGCTGACTCTGGGGGTGCTGAGCGTGTGGGTGCTACTACTTGGGGTGCTGAGCCTGAGGGTGCTGAGCCTGGGGGTGCTACTACTGGGGGTGCTGAGCCTGGGGGTGCTGAGCCTGGGAGTGCTACGCCTGGGGGTGCTACGCCTGGAGGTGCTGAGCCTGGGGGTGCGGAGCCTGAGGGAGCTGGGCCTGCTCGTGTGGCGTCTGGCGGTGCTGAGCCTGGAGGTTCTCCGGGTGCTTCGTCTCGGCGGGAGCCACTCTCTCCACAGGAGCTGCGCGAGTGGTTTGCCCGGCGCTGGAGGCGTGCTGCTGGAGCTGGAGGTTCTTCGGCTGCTGAGGGTGCTGGTGCCGCGGGTCCCGGAGGTGCTCGTACTGGGAGTACTGGAGCTGCTGGGCCTGCGGGTACGACTGGAGCTGGAGCTGCTGAGGGTGTTGGCGCTGAGGCTACTGCTGTCGGTCCTGGAGGCGGTCCTGCTGGGGGTGCTACTGGTGCTGCTGGAGGTACTGGAGCTGGAGGTGTTGCTGGCGCTGGTGCTGCCGCTGGGGGTACTGGTGCTGTCCCTGCTGTGTCTGGAGTCGCCGCGCGGCCTCGGCCGTACTTCGTTCCGCTCCTTCAGCAGGTTCTTGGTCTCCCGCCTTCTACTGGTCCTCCTCCTCCCTTAGCGTGTCCACAGCCTGTCCCGTCACAGTTACAGTTACAGCCGGCCTCCCCACTGCCCGCTCCTTCTCCCTACACTGGTCCTACTGGAGGTCTTGCTGAGCGTCGTGAGCCTGCGTCTCGCCCTGCGTCGCCTGTCCGTGCTGCTCGCACTAGTGCTCGTGGTTCGCGTCAGCGTCCTCCTCCTGTCCCTGGCACGCACCGGATGTCTCTGCGTCCGTCCACTGCTCCTCTGCGTGCCCCTTTGCCTTCTCCTCCTGAGTCCTCTCTTCCTGCTCTTCCTGACCCGGAGTCGGACTCTCTTCGTGCTGCCAGTCCTACTGTCACGCGTCTCCTTGCTACTGTTGTCACTGACCCTTCCTTTGAGTCCACTGCTGCGTCTGCCCTAGTTACTGAGCTCGTCGACTTTGCTGCTCGCTGTCGTCTAGACTACGCTGCTAGTCTTGTTGCTGAGTCTGAGTCTGTCTGTCCTCCGTCCGTCGGGGGTGAGTGTGCCCTTGGCACGGACGTCCTTGAGGACAGGCAGGAGGAGTTCCAGTGTTTGGCTGCTGCTTCACCTCATCTCGTGTCCGTACTGCTTACCCCTGAGGGAGACCCGGATGCACTTGACATCCCGACTCCGCGCTCTTACGCGGAGGCGATAGAGGGTCCCTACTCCTCTCAGTGGCAGGCAGCTATGGACGCAGAGATGGCTTCCTGGAAGTCCACAGGCACCTACGTTGATGAGGTTCCCCCGCCTGGGGCGAACATCGTCAGTGGCATGTGGATTTTCAGGGTGAAGCGGCCGCCGGGTTCTCCGCCTGTCTTCAAGGCGCGTTATGTGGCTCGTGGCTTCAGTCAGCGGCAGGGAGTTGACTACTTTCAGACCTTCTCTCCCACCCCGAAGATGACCACTCTTCGGGTACTGCTGCACATAGCTGCTCACCGCGACTACGAGCTGCACTCTCTTGACTTCAGCACTGCTTTCTTGCAGGGCAGCCTGCACGAGGAGATCTGGCTGCGTCGCCCACCTGGCTTCGCTGGGTCTTTTCCTCCTGGCACCCAGTGGAGCCTCCGGCGGCCAGTCTACGGTCTCCGCCAGGCACCGCGTGAGTGGCACGACACACTGAGGACTACACTTGCGGCTCTTGGGTTTGCTCCCTCTACTGCCGACCCGTCGCTGTTTCTGCGCACCGACACTTCTTTGCAGCCGTTCTACATCCTCGTGTACGTCGACGACTTGGTCATTGCCACAGCTGACACTGCTGGACTCGCCCACGTGAAGTCCGAGCTGCAGAAGAGACACACGTGCACAGACCTGGGTGAACTGCGCAGCTACCTTGGCTTGCAGATCACCCGGGACAGAGCACGCCGCACCATTACCCTGACTCAGTCACACATGGTGCAGCAGGTCCTTCAGCGCTTCGGCTTCACGTACTCCTCGCCTCAGGCCACTCCTCTGCCTACTCGCCACTCGCTCTCAGCTCTGCCTTCGGATGAGTCCGTAGAGTCGAGTGGCCCGTACCCAGAGCTTGTTGGCTGCCTCATGTACCTGATGACCTGCACACGACCTGACCTTGCATACTCTCTTAGCATTCTTGCACGCTATGTTGCTCCTGGGAGACACAGACCGGAGCACATGGCTGCAGCGAAGAGGGTGTTGCGCTACTTGTGCAGTACGTCGGGCATGGGGCTTGTGCTTGGAGGGCAGAGTCCAGTGGTCCTCACTGGACACGCAGACGCTTCTTGGGCTGACGACCAGGCTACGCAGCGGTCGTCACAGGGTTACACCTTCAGCCTTGGTTCCGGCTCTGTTTCGTGGCGGGCTACTCGCTCGTCTTCTGTTCTCGGCTCCAGTTGTGAGGCTGAGATCTACGCCGGGGCCATGGCTGCACAGGAGCTTCGCTGGCTCACCTACCTGCTGACTGACCTCGGAGAGCCGCCTCGTTCTCCTCCAGTGCTCTACGTAGACAACAAGGCCATGCTGGCCTTGTGTCGAGAGCAGAGACTGGAGCACAGAACGAAGCACATTGCTCTTCGCTACTTCCTTGCTCGTGAGCTACAGCAGCGTGGTCAGCTGCGACTTGCGTACGTGGCCTCTGAGGCCAACACTGCTGATATCTTCACCAAGGCACTTGCGCCTTGTGATCATCAGCGCTTCTGTACTCAGCTGGGTCTTGTACCTACCTTGCCTCACTTGCTCACCTCTTGACCTTGTTTGTACTGTTGCATATATATATACTCCTGCTCTTGCTTGTCTAGCCTTATATATATATGTAATCCTGCATGTGAACTGGCCTTGTGGCCTTGAACTTGTGCTCGGAATGTGTGGTGACTTTGTGATCCACCCTGAGCTTGCTTTGCTTTGCTTGACTGGTCTTGTGACCCCTTGTTCTCCCCCACTTTGCCTATGGGGGTGTGTCAGAGTTATATGACATAGCTACTGTAGGCTATAGTGGGGTAGCACATATGGGGTACAGTTGCCTAGGGTTTGCCTTTTGTACCCAACTTTCACTTAGTCATTTCATTCCTGTTTTCTTGATTCACAAATACGGTGAAAGAAAATCAACCGAAAGGAAGAAGCAAAGAAAACAAGACGAATGGTTTCAAAACAAGGGAGAGAGGACAAGAGAGAGAGAACGAGAGAAAGAAAAACAGAGAGAGAACGAACGAGAGAGCGAGAGAGAGAGAGAGAGAGAGAGAGAGAGAGAGAGAGAGAGAGAGAGAGAGAGAGAGAGAGAGAGAGAGAGAGAGAGAGAGAGAGAGAGACCGAGAGAGAGAGAGAGAACGAGAAAGAGAGAACGAGAGAGAACGAACGAGAGATAGAGAGAGAGAGAGAGTTCAAAAACAGAAACTAAGAATGAAGAAACGATGCAGCTACGAATAGAAGGAGTGGCTAATCGAAGAGTCTGAAAAAAGAGAAGGAAGGGTGAAGAACGGATAAAGAAAAAATGGTCACGAAAACCTAGACAAACGTCACTAGATGCGGAATCTATTAAAAGGAAGTACCGGGCAGATGGAGACGGAGCAGCAGATGGAGCGTGAGTACCGGGCTCATATAAACTGGGCTCCACTCACGAGTGGGAGAGACAAAGAAGAAAAGGACATCGAAACCCTAGAGAAGTTAAATTTCGTCGCACGAAAACTGACCCAATAAATTAAAACAGACTAATATGTAAGTCGTTTGTAGCGCAGCTGTAACTGCATCGACTAGGTGTTAAACGGTCTTCGGTTCAATTCTATTAGGTGTGCAGTTTTACCAGATCTTGGTTACAACTCAAGATGATTGTTGGAATGTCTAAGTTTTGTACACTCTATTAGCTTTACAGGTTAATGTAATTTTGCAAAATGCTTCGCAACCTTAAGACGATTTCGTCGCCTCTTGTTTTTTTTTTTTTCACTGCTCGGATTTTCAGAGTTGTAACCTGTACAAAGAAAAATGCATTCTCCAGAAATTTACACTGGTCTATCAGAGGACCAGCTAAAATCAAAACTCTGGCAAATCAGAGAAAACTTCTTCCAAAACAATTACCCAGAAACATCAGAGTGACCCCCAAAAAATCACTGATTTTCAGAGAAACAGAGCAATTTACTCTGATAAAATAAGCCCTAGTGCTGTGCATACAGCAGTAGTTTAGTCTTTAAGCTTTGATGTGGCTGTGCTGATGTTTCTACTTGTTGGTGATTTCTAAGTATGTCATGAAGCCCTGAATAGGCTCCTGATGTCATTGCTAATCAGAGCTAAAAAAAATACTCCCTCAGCTTCAATCCAATTTACAGAAGCCACCTAATTTACAGAAGCCACCAGCTAGATACATCAAAGGCCAGGAAACTAAACACAGGCCTACTGTCCACCACGAAGGCGGAGGACAAGGTGAAGAGTGGACTCCTTCTGAATGTTGTAATCCGCGAGAGTGCGTCCATCCTCCAGCTGCTTACCAGCGAAGATCAAACGCTGCTGGTCAGGGGGAATGCCCTCCTTGTCCTGGATTTTCGCCTTCACGTTGTCAATGGTATCGCTGCTCTCCACCTCAAGGGTGATGGTCTTCCCAGTGAGAGTCTTAACAAAGATCTGCATACCACCGCGGAGACGGAGAACCAGATGCAGCGTCGACTCCTTCTGGATGTTGTAATCCGCGAGCGTGCGTCCGTCCTCGAGCTGCTTGCCGGCGAAAATCAGACGCTGCTGGTCAGGGGGGATCCCCTCCTTGTCCTGAATCTTAGCCTTGACGTTGTCGATGGTATCACTGCTCTCCACCTCGAGGGTGATGGTCTTGCCGGTGAGAGTCTTGATGAAGATCTGCATGGTGCTTGACGAGACTGAGCCTATTAGAATAATAGAGCTGGATGAGAGAAAGCTGGTAGATGAACTCGAAACTGCACGCAAAGTTGAACTGCTGAGAAATGAAGAACCGAGTACTAAATATTCTACTTAGGGTTGATTGAGTAAGGCTGAAGTTTTGATTTAGGTAGAAGATAGTGCCAGGACGAAGATGGTGGGATCAGGGGGAGTCGGCTCGGGAGACGGTTCGGCATGAAAGCCTGGTCAGAGGTAGGGAAAGGGCGAGAATTGCAGTGAGGTGACGGGGTGGGGTGGAGCTAGGGGAAAAGCCCAGATTACTGGGAAACGCGTTCGGAAACTCCAAGAAGCTGCGAGGTTTGGTTGGACACTTCAACAAGCAACCCGGCCTGGAAACACCAACAAGCAACCAGGTACGGACAACCACCTTACCATGGGAACGGTTCGGACTGAGACAGGTTTCAGGCTCGATGACATCGGTTTTCTCCAGTCTGCACCATGATGGCGGTTTGGTCTGGCTCGACAAGGCTGCTGGTCTGGTTCGACTGTGTCGCTGGCATGGATTCTGCCAGCAGCGTATGGCGAAAGTCATTCATTGCATTCATGTCACGTCAACGGCGATAGTGTGGTGGTTGCGACTTGAACGCCACGCGTCGCCAATTGGAAACTGGCGCGGTGAGGGGGGTGATTGTCGCCGTAACTGTTTCGCAGGGCGACTGGCTGAACTCTACAAACAGGATACCTTTCAGCGAAGGCAAAGGAACATTCAACAAACTTCGCTGGGAACTCTGAAGGCTTTCAGCAGGGGCAAAGTTGAAAGCTGCGCGAAGCATCGCTTTCTTTCGTGAAGATTCTTTGACAGCCGAGTTATGGCAACCAGAACCCAAAGATGTTACTTCGAACACTTTTTATGGAGACTTGTTCTGAGTTGTAAAAGAGAGTGCGCAGGTTAACGAATAACGAGAAGGTGATTGAACAGACTGATCATACAATGAAGGCACACGCTAATATAGTGAGTAGGCTAGCTAGGAGGGAACTTCGGGTGAATGAGGTTGGGTGCAGGTTTGGCGAAGAGAAAGGCCGAAGGCGACGCGAGGAGGCTCGGCATCGTTGATGTCGGCCAAACGTGCAGAGTCCGAAAATCGGGGCTGTACGCGAAGCAGTCAACCCCGATAAGGAATTCAGTAAAATTCCTTACAAGACTGGTGGACTAGAAGCGCTGTATGGGTTCAGCATGGGGAAAATATGCCACTCGTAATCAACAAGGGTCTCGATAATATGTTTGGTAAAAAAAATAACGGGTACGGTCACTGCAAACGATGTTTTCACGTGTTTGATAAAACGTTTCGTGGAATCAGTTGTTAGAATCTTACGGGAAAGTTGGGTGTCGACTATCGAGGGGGGAAAGATACAAAGGAGAAACCTAACGGGTTGTACCCCACAGTGAGTACCCAACTAAGCCTAACCAAACTATAACAAAAATACACATATGTTTGACACACCCCCATAGGCAAAGTGGGGAAGAACAGAGGGTCACAAGACCAGTCAGGAAGTGCAAAGCAAGCTCAGGGTGGATCACAACGTCACCACGCAGTCTGAGCACAAGCAAGAAGGCCACAAGGCCAGTTCACATGCAGAAATATATATGTAACAACAACAGTACAGTGATATCTACCTACAAGAACAAGCATGCAGGAATACATATAAATCATGGTACAAACAAAGCCTACAGCAAGTGAGGAAGAGTGGGCACAAGGCCTAACAAAGTGCAGAAACGCTGATGATCACCAGGCGGAAGCGCCTTGGTGAATATATCAGCAGTGTTGGCCCGAGTGGCCACGTAGGTAAGACGAAGCTGGCCACGCTGCTGCAGCTCTCGAGCAAGAAAGTAACGGAGAGCGATGTGCTTTGTTCTGTGCTCCAGTCTGTGCTCCTGACACAAGGCAATGGCGGCCTTGTTGTCGACGTACAGAACTGGAGGAGAACGAGGCCTCTCTCCCAAGTCGGTCAGCAGGTAGGTGAGCCAGCGCAGCTCCTGTGCAGCCATGGCTGTGGCGTAGATCTCTGCCTCACAGCTGGAGCCGAGAACTGAAGACGAACGTGTAGAACACCAGGAAACTGAACCAGAACCAAGGCTGAAGGTGTAACCCTGTGACGACCGCTGCGTAGCCTGGTCGTCAACCCAAGAGGCGTCCGAGTGACCTGTGAGGACAACGTCACCCCGTCCTCCAAGCACGAGCCCCATGCCCGATGTACTGCACAAGTAGCGTAGTACCCTCTTGGCAGCATCCATGTGCACCTTTCGGTGCCGACCAGGAGCCACGTAGCGAGCCAGAAGGCCAAGAGGGTACGCAAGGTCAGGACGAGTGCAAGTCATCAGGTACATGAGGCAGCCCACTAACTCTGGGTAAGGACCACTCGGCTCTACGGACTCGTCCGAAGGTGGAGCTGAGAGCGAGTGACCTGTAGCCAGAGGAGTGGCCTGTGCTGAGGACCAGGTGAAACCGAAGCGCTGAAGGACCTGCTGCACCATGTGTGACTGAGTCAGTGTGATGGTGCGGCGTGCTCTGTCCCGGGTGATCTGCAAGCCAAGGTAGCTGCGCAGTTCACCCAGGTCTGTGCACGTGTGTCTCTTCTGCAGCTCCGACTTCACCAGGGCGAGAGCCTCAGTGTCAGCAGTGGCAAAGACCAAGTCGTCGACGTACACGAGAACGTAGAACGGCGGCAGAGAAGTGTCGGTGCGCAAAAACAGCGACGGGTCAGCAGTCGACGGAGCAAACCCAAGAGTCGCAAGTGTCGTCCTCAGTGTGTCGTGCCACTCACGTGGCGCCTGGCGGAGACCGTAGACCGGCCGCCGGACGCTCCACCGGGTACCAGGAGGGAACGACCCAGTGAAGCCAGGAGGGCGGCGCAGCCAAATCTCCTCGTGCAGGCTGCCCTGTAAGAAGGCTGTGCTGAAGTCAAGAGAGTGAAGCTCGTAGTCATGCTGAGCGGCAACGTGCAGCAGCACCCGAAGAGTGGTCATCTTCGGGGTGGGGGAGAAGGTCTGGAAGAAGTCAACTCCCTCTCGCTGACTGAAGCCTCGAGCCACGTACTGAGCCTTGAAGACAGGCGGAGAACCTGGCGGCCGCTTCACCCTGAAAATCCACATGCCACTGACAATGTTCGCCCCATGAGGGGGAACCTCGTCGACGTAGGTGCCTGTGGACTTCTAGGATGCCATCTCTGCGTCCATGGCTGTCTGCCACTGAGAGGAGCACTCACCCGCGATCGCCTCAGCGTAAGAGCGCGGGGTAGGGATGTCTGGTGCATCCGGGTCTCCCTCAGGGGCAAGCAGCATGGATACGAGATGAGGCGCAGCGGCTGCAAGACACTCAAGGTCCTCCTGTCTGTCCTCAAGGACGTCCGTGCCAAGAGCACACTCACCCCTGACGGACGGAGGACAGACAGACTCAGACTCAGCAACAAGACTGGCGGCGTAGTCGAGACGACAGGCAGCAGCAAAGTCAACAAGCTCAGCGACTAAGGCAGACGCAGCAGTAGACTCAAACGACGGGTCAGTGACAACAGTGGCAAGCAGACGCGTGACAGTAGAGTGCTCAGCACGAAACTGGTCAGACGCAGGGTCAGCAACGACAGGCAGAGAGGACGTAGGGGGAGACGGCAGAGGAACACGCAGCGGAGGAGAGGAAGGACGACGAACTACAAGGTGAGAGCCGGAGACAGCCGGCTGCCGCTGACGAGGAACACGACGACTGGAATAACCAGAACGGACAGGTGAGACAGGACGCGACGCAGGCTCACGACGCTCAGCAAGGCCCCTAGTCTGCTCTGTGTACGGAGAAGGAGCAGGCAGCGGTGAGCCAGGCTGTAACGGAAGACCAGTAGACGAGGGAAGACTGAGAACCTGGCGAAGTGCAGAGTCAGGTGGTGGCTGAGACGACGGAGACGGCGGAGCGAAGAACAGGCGCTGCTGAGTAGTGCCACCAGCACCAGCAGCTCCAGCACCTCCAGCAGCTCCAGCACCTCCAGCAGCTCCAGCACCGCCAGTAGCTCCAGGACCCTCAGCAGGTCCAGCACCTCCAGCAGCTCCAGTACCTTCAGCAGCTCCAGCACCGCTAGTAGCTCCAGTACCCTCAGCAGCTCCAGCACCGCCAGCACCTCCAGCAGCTCCAGTACCTCCAGCAGCTCCAGCACCCTCTGCAGCGCCAGTACCCTCAGTCACAACACCGCCAGCCCCAGCAGCTCCAGTACCCTCAGTACGAGCACCTCCGGGACCAGCGACACCAGCAGAAGAACCTCCAGCAGTAGAGCCCTGAGGTGCAGAAGCACGACGCTGACGGCGACCGTACCAGTCGTGCAGCTGCTGGGAGGTGAGGGGCACACGCGGACGAAGACGGCTACTCCAAGGAGACCGCGGAAAAGCAGTCGCAGAACCCTCAGACGACTCACCCCCAGACTCAGCACCCCCAGGCTCCGCACACGCAGGCTCAGCACCCCCAGACGCAGCACCTCCAGACGCAGCACCCCCAGGCTCCTCACGCTCAGCGCCCCCAGACTCAGCACCCCCAAGCTCCGCACCCCCAGGGACAGCACCACTCGCAGCAGGACCGGAGTCACCAGTGACCTCAACAGGCACAGGCGCGGGGGGGTCTACCTGAGAGACACCTGAAGGAGCAGGACCTGGCGCGGGGAGGGGGTCTACCTGGGGAGGACCTGGGGCGAGAAAGAGCGGCGGGGGGGGGCGAGGAGCAGTGCGGTAGGGGAAGAGGCGGTAAAAGGGGACGGACTCGTCAAAGGTGACATCCTGAGACGCAAAGACACGGCGCGAGGCGGGGTCGTAAAACTGCCTGCCAGGCGCGTCAGGGACAAAGCCAAGGAAGACGCAAGGAATGGCGCGAGGGGAGAGCTTGTCCGCGGTGGTATCGCGGACAAAGGCACGAGCACCCCAGACCCGGAAACGCGACGCGTCGCCAACCTTCCCCGTCCACAGCAGTGTGGGCGAGGTCTCCGGCAAGGAGACACGGGGCCAAAGGTTGAGCTGATGCGCGGCGTACCGGACCGCAAACGGCCACAGAAAATGGGGGGCAGCCGCATGGATCATGGAGGTACGAGCGACCTCCATGACTAAGCCAATGCGGCGCTCAGCAACCCCATTCTGCTGAGGAGAGGCCGGAAGCGTGAAAGTCTGGCGGATGCCGTGCTCCGCACAGAAGGCTGCCAAGAGGTCTGAGGAGAACTCACCACCTCTGTCAGAGTGCAGACGCAGGACAGGAAAGTCCGACTGGAACCGCTCGCGGAGCTGGAGACGAGTAGCGCGGATCCAAGGGGATCAAAACATCAGGGACATCCCCCTTGCGCTGCAAGGGGAAGACCGTGGTGTAGCGCGTGTAGTCGTCGACAACCAGCAGGAAGTACCGCTCGTGGCCCTGTCC